TTGGATTGCAGAGAGACACAGGATTGGCTGAGGCCAGGTGGTCCAATATGTCTGCGCCCTAATCCGACGCCACACCACACTGCATCACACCACACCACACTTCACTGCGCTACACCCGGACCTCTGTACGTCTTGTTGTTTCTGCGTTTATTTCCCTGTATTTTCCATGACAGATTTTTTGGTGAGTTAATGGAAATTAATTTCACTTAAAATCGACATCGGACTCGTATTTCATATTCATTTATTTACTTACTTCGCCTTCTGAGTATCGTTCTAGGTGTCCGTTGCCCAGCCTGTACTGGATTTGCTGCATCGGTGTTTACGGATGTTTATGAGTGTGGTTCATGACCCACAGTTCGAAAACCATTCCAGTGACGTGAAATTTGTGCCGGGCCCATAAGTGTTAGCTTTCCGAACGGAGTGGTTTTCATCGTTTAACAAATTTGAAAACTCAATCAATCACGGGAAATACTTAGGCAACTTATTTGCTGTCAGGCGAAGTGAGATGTTTGTTCGTAGACGTGGCTACTAATGTGCCAAGTTATATTTTCCATTGGGTATACCCGCCACCGGGGACTTCTTCCTTTGACGCTTGTTTTGATCCCCTGATTTGGTGCGGTAGCTTTTCTTTTCGTAGCTTTCCCGGAGGATGCGCTAGAGTATACATCCTATGGCCTAAGCAGGGTGTGAAGTTCTTTTTTACTCAGGCTATCAGAACTCCGAAACAATTGGTCGAGTACCAGCGTCCATTTATGTCATTACTTTCCATTGCCAAATCTGTGGGCAAATTCAGTTGTTATAGTCATGTCTAACTCCTATGTTCAATTAATCAAAGATTCGAAGTAATTGTATGATTTCAAGCTCTAAAAAACTGCAAAAGCTGCCTACTTAAGTGGTAAGCAGTTAATCGGATACTACGGGTCAGGGTTGTCTGTATTTCTGCTAAAGTATTTCTTTAATATGAGTATGCGAAGATGTCTGATTGTGTCGCTGTCATCGAATCGGCTTCACTTTTGGTTATGGTTATTCGCGTATGCCTAAGGCATCTACTGCAATTTTTAGATTTAATTGCTAAGGCAATCTTGTGAATCTGACAGAGTGAGAAGTGGTGTCCATAATGTGAGTGGAACTTGTGGTTCCTCCGTGTGCTTGAGCATTGACCCCGTGTGTTGGCTAGACAGGTTAACTGTTGAACTTACCAGGAGGGGCCTATTTAGTGAATACTTGACTTCCCCTATTTGTTCTTTCCTTCCTATTTTTCGCGTTAACTCCTATCGTAGATGCGCGAGAGATTGGGTTACGCAGAACTCTGGTGGAAGTCACATTTGTATAACTTCTTGCTTTAAATCGCGGTAGTGCTTTTCGGTTTCATCAACAGATTTTTTTGGTTTTTCCTGCGGAATTCCGTCTAATGTGCATTTATGTGTTACATTTAGTTTCTTTCGTACAATGAACAATAGTGAGATGGAGCCTTGTCCATTCTGTTCCAAGAAAGTTCTTAATGAAGAAGAATTTTTCGTCCACGTCGTAAGTTGTAGCGGTGAGTCCAGTACACCAACGGCGGTTAGTAAATCGGCCTCTCGCCAAGTACCCATCGCATCAATGTCCCAAAACAGCGCAATACATCTACCGGCTCCCGAGGCTTCACTGCCTTGGCCATCTTCTGGCTCCGCTCCAGCACCGCCAAAGCGATTGGAACCGGTGAAGGCCGCTGCCGTAGCAGCTCTCAACCGTAATCCGCCTCAGGTCCCTCGAGCCACTGAAGTGGGTAGCTGTGAAAGTGGGGACTGGAAGTGTGTGCTCTGCAAACTTAGCTTTCGTGACAAGAGCTTGTTGATGGCTCACATTAGGAGTTCGGAGCACACAGAAAAGATTCGGCTCACCGGCTGTTCAATTGAGTCACCGAAGACTCCAACGGTGCCACCACCTACCCAGAGTGCAAAAGTCAATCCAATGCCTAACACTTCAGAACCAGGTGTGATGGGAAGTGGTTTGGCTGAAATGGTGCGAGTCATTGTAAAGGAAGAACTTGGTAAGATTGTTCGTGCGGAGTTGCGCAAGG